GCTTATGTTATCATGGCTGAGACCACAATTAGGCTACCTTCACACTGTAGGCCTTGATGCTCAATTCTGATTATATTGTGAAATCCATTTTTTTTTGTGTGTTGCTGTTCACATTTCCAAATACATGTGAATTGTACGTGATCTTCTGTTTGAACTGCATTCATACAACCTAAGTGTCCGGCATGCCTAGTAGAGGACGCAATGAAGTCACAAGCAAGCGTGCTCTGTGTTTACGGTAGTAAACATGGATGGTAGTGCTGCAGAACATCTAGCGATCTTTCCCCAACCTAAAAAACTCAATCTTTCCAAGATGGTTAAACATAACTACTACTCTTGCATTATCGTCCACCGTTGTTGTTGTTCTTCTTGCTACTTCCGCATAGCAAAAAGCAGAAGAGTTACCACTGTCGCGTATTATTGACATTCAGGTCGGATAGATTTGAAAAGATCAGATTCATATCTGATTCAGGACCACATAGGCAAGCGGCCTGGGTCACATTGGAAGAAATCGGATCTGTGTTGTTCAGACTGCCATGAAAAGATCCAATCCATTTATATATTGGTAAAAAAATCAGATTTGGGTCTCTTCAGGCTGTGGTGTGAACATAGCCTTAGATCACTTGCCGTCTTTAGCTCAGGTGGTTGTGATGATATTGTGTGCTTTGCCAAATCCATAGTTGCTAAAGTACTTTAATGTTATTCCCAAACTATATTGCTAGCAGTTTACCAACTATGGTTTTAGTAAACATTCCCTGTTTAAAGCCTTTTTAGACGCAATGGACAAAGCTTTTTTCGTTAACTGACTAAAAAGATTATGTTATAAACCTATGCATTCAAAAATTTGTTGTATGATGGTTAGAGTTAGATTTGTCTGTTTTTCTGGTGGGATAAAATCATTTATATTATTGTTGTTAAAGGTATAGTGTAGGATGTTCTTTTCAGGCATGAATCATCAAAATAAGTGGTCCTCCTAATTAATAACTATTCTTCTGATATGTTTACATAAGGCCGCCCTGCGTACTCGTCCCCATTTCCACTACTATTTTACAGTAGCTAACCTCATGTTTTACAGAAAACACACAGAGGATTCTAAATTGTAAATGTTTTGGACAAAGTTGAACTTACAGTTCTGCACACCTTATTATTCTTACACAAAATGTCAATAGCAATGGTTTTGTTAGTTTGCTGCTGAAGAGAAAACATCTAGAAGTTGAAGTGCAAATTAATACAACTAGCACTGATCATGGAGAAGAACATCTATTTTTCCCATCAAATCGGGCAGCTGAGCTCATTCTTTAAATGTATATTGGAGGATGTCCTTCTTCTGGTTGGATCACTGAAGTAAGTGGTCCTCCTAATTTTCAACCATTCTAGTGATGTTTTTGTAAGGCCGTCCTTTGTGGTCATCCCCATTTTCACTTACCGGTGGTGAGTCTGACATAGTGGAAAAATTGCAAATCTTTCTTTTGTGCATGTGCATTTCAAAGTAGAGAGTGCGGGTCTTTTCAAAAATTTGCAAAAGTCCTACACTATACCTTTAACAACATCAATTAAGATAAATTAGTGTTTTTCTGGTCAAACTGCTCCTGTTGTTAGGTGTTGTTATTTATAAGCTTTAACTGATAGGCTGTCTTTAGCAGCCTATCAGTTAAAGTGCCCTTTTCTTCTATATTATTCCCCTCTCCTAGCCTCCATCATTCCATAATCTCACTGGTTGCCTTTAAGAGAACAGGAAAGCTAAAACAGTTTGATCAAAAGAAGGTTGAATGTGGAGTTTTTTGGTGCATCCTTTCATGCCTAATGTCAGAGGATTTTTTAAAGTTAATTGTAAAATGTAACATAACAGGAAACCTTTCAAATCAAGATTTCATTTCATGTATCAGTTTTTGTAATTAGTTAGTGTTTACCTGATACATGCAAGCTAGTATGCTGTGTTGTTTTACTGCATAGGTTTGGCAGCTTTCCCAATGGTTTTTAATTTTTTATTTTTTTTTTGGTTTCCTTTTCATTTTTTTATTTTTTTATTTTACAATGACCAAATATATTTAATGAGCTAACAAAAAGAATTGGATGATTAGAAAGTATAAGGAAGATAATCACTTGTTTTGGGGAATGATTTTTTTTATTCACTCTCTTTATGGTATTCTCGGTTGATGGGAAGGTGGATGGTGATAGATAGTAGGAAACGTAAAACTAATAATGGCTGCAAAAGACTAGAAACTGAGGCAGAATATTTTTTTGCAGCAGGACAACACATTTAAACGTACAGCATTATAAAAATTGTTAAGATTAGGAGTTTTCAGTCTGGAAGGGCCAGTGTCCTACATGTTTCATGTTGAGCCAATACTAACACACCTAAATATAACTGTTTACTTTTTAGAAGAACCAGGTAAAAAGCTAGATTAATTAAGCTGTTTGAATCAGCTTTGTTAGATCAAGGGCACTGCAAATTCTCCATTCACACAAACTTCTTCATCCGTATATCTTCCATTTAGTCGCAAATTGAATTCGTTCTAGTCAGTGCAGTAATTCTAACTGGCTTGATGGACAGCTCCCATCAATCATCTGTCAGCAATGTGGAAATCAGATCTGGTACTTTTCAGAATAAGAGGTCATGTATGGATAGATCCAAGGTGCATGGCACATTTTTTAGATGAAGATTGAATGTTATATGTGTGAATCCATTATTAAACCTGCATGGTAGCAGCAGGAGTTTGACATGGGTCACCTGGTTTAGATAAAAGCATCTCTTTGAATGGTCCAGTCAAAGTTTTCAGCTAATACAAGATTACATTTACAAGCCATTTTACTTTAATTAATGTTTCTCATAAAGTTCTTAAACATCACCCATCACCATTTGATCCCCATGAATGTTTTTGAAGACAAGTATATGTCATGTATCTCTTTTGTTTGCAAATGTCATAAGCATTGTCTGTCCATCAGTCTTTATATGTGTTTTGTTTCCCATAGTCTAAAGCTGACATTGGCTCATCTCCCCAAAGGATTGTAGTGTGGCTTCAGACATAACATAGTTGGATTGTGTTTACACAATTCCTGGCAGGACTTTGAAAAGTGAGCAGAGCAGTCCAAATCTAGGGCCTCTGTAAGGATGTCATTGGTTTTCTACTTGACTCAGTTGAGAGTCGTATCAGTTCAAACTCGCATACTCTGGGTTTACAATTTCTTCACTAGCTGCCTGTGAGTTGAAGTGACTGAATAAGACGTCCAGCTTGTGTAATTGTTTCCTGATTTTCGTAAGGCATTGATGATGACTCTTGCAGAATTTACTTTGCAAATGTATTATTCAAAAAGTCATTATCGAACACTCTTTCTATTGCTATAGGGTGAGATGTCAAAATTGAAAGTATAGACACTTTTTTCACAATTTATCCTGATCATACCGATGTTCATTCTTCAACTAGGCACCTGTTCTAGTCTGGGAAAAGTTTTCTCACTAATGAGTTTGATGTAGTGAGCTCGTTAGTTGTAACCTGAAGGGAGCTGTTCTGGCTGCATGACGGGTGGTCCATGCCAAGTGTGCAGAGCTTAGAAGTCTCAACAGCTGGTGCTGGAGAGAGCAGGGGCAGTGGGTGACGACGGGAAAGTACTTGGAACAGATGCCTGGGGCCAAGACCCTAAGAAGAGAGCTGAAACATGTTACTGTGCACCAGGTTAATCATTGTGCACCAAGTATTTAGCTGTCTCTCATGCACTTTTCCAAGTAGGCTGACTCACCTTGAGCATGCATAATCACAATTATTAGCATGTATTATATTTATACTCAAAGAGTATATTTTTGTTGAGTAAAATCTAGTATGTTACAATACGAAAGAGCAAAGAAAATCATGTGTATTAATTTTACAGCTATTTGTTATTTAAATATTCACAGATGCTAACAATAAAAATGTGGAGAACAACTTTGAATGACTTTAAAAATAAATATTATTTCATCACTTTTTATTGAAAACTGAAGTTTGGCTCACGGCTTGTTTTCAAACAAAAGCAGTTTGATCTGAAAACTCACCTAAAGCTATGCTCCTATCAGACACTGGGACTTCAGAGTCTTCCCCTTTAGCCTAAAGCAGCCTGCCAAAAGCTCTTACATATCTGCAAAGGCATACCTCTGCTACTCAAAATGTAAGCATCATTCAGCATCATTTGCCTGCTTTTTTTCACCACCATGGCTGATCCTCAGCATCACAGAGTATGGATTATTCGATGTGGTTGTGTGCAGACAAGGCAGCCACCATTAATTAAAGTCCACAATGGGCCCTGTGCTGAGAGTGACAGATCTATATACAAATTAATCACTTGGTCTGCGTTTCACAGTAAGGCCCTCCTTTTCTGAAGTTTTACAGTCTAGTCATGTAGGCTGTTGTTTACGGTGCTCCAGATCGAGAATTAAACCTGAATGAGAGTGATAAATCATAGCAGAGAAACACACAAACTCCCACTGCCCGTTTATGTGTTAGGAAGGCACAGACAGGGTGAAAAAACTTCAGTCTGCAGTCCGTTAATCAAGCTCAAAAAGATGGTTACATGGCCTTTTTTTGGGTGTGTGTGGATAGCGTGGTGGTAGAGGACGTCTGATGATAAAGAGAGCAATGATTTTTCTTTTCCTTACTTTTCCTTTTTATGACCACTGCTTTATAGATAAAGAAGATTTATTAGGGGAAATCCAAGGAAAATGGAGAGGATACTCTCAGGGATCTCAGATTAGATTTCTAATTGACTATCCGCCTGTGATTAATAAGTCTTATCAACAGTCATCCGTCATTCTAAATGAAGAAAATCCTTACTCTGTTCAGATGTATAACCCTAATTAGGCTAATTTCTTCATTAAACTGGATTAGAACTGACATTTATTGCAAGTTGGTATTTCACCAAACATAGTCTGTCTTTTGCCACCAAAAACAATAACAACTTTTATAATCTGGTATGCAGGGTCACCTAACAAGTTATACTCACCCCACTGCATCTTTTTACTGCTTTCGTTTTAGGTACAATCTCCATCAATACCCTTCGTACTGCTTACACAGCCCCTGGAGAAAGTGAGATCTTGGACTTGGATGACAATCTGTATCTTGGGGGTCTGCCAGAAAACAAGATGGGCCTCGTGTTCCCCACTGAGGTGTGGACAGCTCTGCTCAACTATGGCTATGTGGGCTGTATCCGAGATTTATTTATAGATGGACAGAGTAAAGATGTGCGGCGCCTTGCAGAGGTCCAGAAGGCTGCCGGGGTCAAACCCTCATGCTCTAAAGAGCCTCCTAAACAGTGCTTGAGCAACCCCTGCCAAAATAATGGTGTCTGCAGGGAGGGATGGAACCGCTACGTCTGTGACTGCTCTGGAACTGGATACTTGGGACGCTCCTGTGAAAGAGGTAGGATTTTGTTTTTTTGTCTATTCCTCACAACCTTTATAACTTTGAGATGAGCTTGTCTGAGGCTTCATCATTCTGCATCCAAAGAATGCATGCTTGTATATAAAAAATACATATAAATATATGTATTTGCAAGACATAATAACACAAGCTGATATTTGTTTACGAAAGTTATATGTTTTTCTTAAAGATTTGTTTCCAGATACAGTACGCAGCAACATTTTTCATGTGAGACGTGGCTTTGAGTTTCACCTCAGAAGTGTTAGTTTTGAAAAGTCGTTACCTCATCTCAGCTGATTGGTCAGTTACAAATGTGATGGTTTGGCTGTTGAAGTTGCATGCTACTGAGGTGTAAGTCTTCATGGAATAATTAACTATACAGATTAAGTCTTGTGCTAGATTTGTGCTGCTCAGGTATGCATCACATTAATATTTTGTAAAACCAAGGCAAAATCTTCATTTAGATTTTTTTTTTAATCAAGTTGTCATAGAGAGTGCTATCAGAGTTGCAGTATTCATACATAGTAAATAAATAACTTGTGTAAAAAGAGAATTATTATAAGAATAATTTAAGCATAATTTTATATATAATCTGTTTTACACATATACTGTATTCTCATTTACAGATTTACAGATTTATCCACATTTTGTTTAACAAAGTGGAAACATGTATTCACAACTGAACATTCAGATTTACAAGCATACAATATATGATTGGATTTTGTACTTGTACAAATAAAACAATACACAGAAACACACTTTTAGGCAATGCTGCCAACTTTGCGGCTTTGTCATTATAGTTAGCAACTTTTTAGACCCCCACAGCGACAATTATTTTTTTAAGTGACTAACAACATATCCAGTGTTGTCGGTGATTGATGAAAGCACTTTAAAGCACTGATCTCTGAGTAATCTGGTGCACTAAAAGTGATCCCACCCTAGAAGAATAATATTATTAAAAACTAGGAGTTCATATTTAGTTTTAAATGCATTTAGATTATTTTTAATGATATTTCCCTCTGCTATGGTTGGATAAAAGCATTACCAAATAAGCAGATGAGGTGATGACATAATATAGCGACTTCTAGTGACTTTTAGGCCAGCCAATAGTGGCTTTCCTTGTCTAAGAGTTGCCAACAGTGCTATTAGGTAGACCTGTTTTGTTCGTTGGTACCACAAGCAGCAACTCATCCTACTGTTATTACGTGACATCAGTTTAGTACATTTAGGGATTTTGATGTGCAAAAGCAGAAACTGTGAAATAGGAAGTGTATTTTTGCTGGTCTGAGTTTTTCAGAAAATACTGATCAACAAAAATGTTTTCATGTACAACCACCTTTCAGGTTGTCCAAAAATAAGAATGTGTGAGGAAACGTCACACTACTTTAAAGAACACTTATTAGTGATAATAGGATGGAAATACTGTACTGTACTGTAATAGCTCAGTTTACCATTTGCTGAAATCAATGCTTGTAGAATAATATATATGTGGGAACGACAATGAACCCTGAAGCAGATGGGCTAGAATAGCCAAAGACTATGTTAGGTACCAGTCCACAAAACTCAAATTGGCAAACTGGTTTTGTTAATATGGGAATAAGTTAACTGTAAACTTGTGGCCTTCACAGTTGTCAGATCACATTACAATAAAGAAAACTTGGGATTTTCTGGAAAGATAGATTTTCATCTATAATGCATGGCCAGCCAAACGTCTGTAACTAACATGATCTACTGACTGAAAATTATCAAGGAATGTGCCACAAACAATCAAGGCATCTTTAAAGGTAAAAAATGGCTGTTAGTTGTATATAAACAGAACATATATGACTCATTATTGAAAGGGATAATGTTTCAAACTGACATCAAGTTTAGATCTTATACAGCAAACATAATCAGCCAAGGAGAGAAACAAAATAAATTTCCAAAAGAATGAGTCAGAAATGTGAGGTTTATTCTGGACCATGTTAGTGAAGGAACAGTAAGTGGCACCATCCACACCAGCCCCTGCACATGCATATCAAGCCATTCATTTAAAACCATCAGAATGAATAGTCTCCCCCAGAGAAGAGAAATAAGAGAACAGATTCATACAAATAAATATTAGACTCCCACCTGTTTGCTAAAGCAAAGTTACCCCTTACCCAAAGCAGAGAATTTGATTTGAGCTTTTCAAGCCATTAAAAACTTCTTCTAAAACACCACCCTTTTTTTCTTATTAATTTGTTCTCACTTTTAAGTGTCCGTTCCCCCTGATATTCCAGTAAAATCTTACACATATAACAAAGATAGTATACTAACGCTTAGGCCTCTTTAGACTGCCTGATGCTCAGGCTTAAAAAAAAGGCAGTTTCCTCTAATATGACTTATCCTGAAAGTTACAGATTTAAAATAAACCTAAATATTTTTACAATATTCTCATTTACCCATCAGCCTTTTTTTGTTGTTTGTTTTTGTTTTTCTCTATTTTTTTAAGAGTCTTAGAACCTGTAGATTCTTCAGCTAAATACTTAGAATAAGTAGTCTAAAGGTATTTAGTATTGCCAAATCATCAAATCTAGTTAAAAAAAAATAAATGTACTATTAACCTCAGAATTGGGCAATGTAATCTTTCTCTTAGAAAAGTGTTGTTGGTTGTGCTTGTTCTAACCTTTTTTTACATATCTGTTTCTCTTGTAGCTGAAAGGTATTATGTGTCAAATAAGTTGATTAAAAAAGGACAACTTTTTAATTTTTTATTTTAGGCACATTTTACCTATAAGCCTGATGTTTTTACTAGATAAAATGCTTTGACTTCGATCTGAATATTGAAAAAAGACTGGCTTTGAAACAGAAGCTGCTGAAATTTCCACTGTTGTGACCTTCTGTCATCCCTCTCAACACTTGAAAGTCTTTTGACGTCTCTGCTTGTCTGTCCAACTTTCATTCTTTGGCTGTCTGTGTTCTTTTGTGTAAGACCAGCATTAGTTAGAGTGTGAGTGGGAGCAGTGGGACGGATGGGCCCTGGCGAGCTGCCAGCTGTTTTGATGGCTCCAGATTGCCTCTGCACTGGTAGGATGAAGCAGGCACCAGCAGGCTGAGGAGCTGTCAGAAAAATTATCCTAGCCCTCACTTAGCCATGCGTGGTGTACCACCCGGTGGCAAAATACAGATACTGCATATGGAAAAGGAAGACAACAGCTAGGATTGGAAGGAACAGAAGGTGGAGTTTCAGACAAGAAGCATGGAGCTATTCGTCCTATTTTGAGAGACTTTAATTAAGCGGACAAAGCAATTTTCTTACATGCATCCCAAACGCCTTCCCCTTCCTCTTGTTCCTGCAGTTGCTAATTAGCCCAAATATTAGTCTTGCAGTGCAAGGGTAAATCAGACTCCCAGATGGTGTAGTAGGTGGATTGCTGCACATGCACATGTTCTGTAATGAGATCTATGATATGCTGGATCACTTCACTGACAGTATTCATGCTTTTTCACAGTCTGACTGACTGAGTGTTCCGATGAACATTTACATACACCTACCTCCTATATTTAAATATAGATGATGATCAATAAAGAAGGTTACACAAGTGTGCTCACAATAGGCTATGTACAAGACATTAAATCTGTCAACATTTGCTCATGTGAGCTCACTCTTTGCATTGTGCTTTAACATGTTCAATAAAGGATTAATTCTGAAAATACAGCACGTTTACATCCTAGTCAAGCCTTAAAAATATGTTTAGTTTGGAGTTTCCTTTAAATTACTATAAAAAAAATAATAATGAAATATAAATAAAACTCACGAAAGGAAAAATGCCGGCAACAGGAAAAATAACAGTGATGTCAGCACAGTTGTTTCTTTTACAGGTCATAAATTCATTTGGTCCAAAGCAAAAACTTTTTTGTTATTTCACTATTGCATTATTTATCCTAACTAGATGTGTAGCTGAGTCTTAGCAATCTGTCACACTGAATATATATAATGTTATTGTTTTAACAGCTACACATGTTTTACTATTCACCATACCCAGGCCAGCTGACAACATTGGCTGGGCCTGGTAAAGAATATTAGCCAATTGGCCCCCACAGTCTAAAAATATAATTTTTTTTTAACAATCTTCTCTTGAAGCAAGGAAAATATGTAATAGTTATTTAAATAAAAATAAATAAATAAATAAAATTAGAATGATTAATTTTTTAGGATAGAAAAATATTTATGTAATGCGCATGCATCACAAGTGACATTGAATATGTTGCAGTTAATTAACATGCCCAGTCGCAAGTAATTCCATTAATAAACTTCTGCTTGTGTGACATGTTTACATGTGAGTAAATAATGTCAACATTTTTATTTCTTTTTTAAGGACTTGAGGCTGTACAGCAGGATTGTCTATTTATTCAGCTCCACTGCAGCACCTCCCTGATCTTATTGGTTGATCATATGTAAAAATTGGGAGAAAACATGGTGCAAAAAAACGCATTGATATGGTCAGTTTGATGCAGAGACTGTGACATGATTTAGAGTTTCTTTTTTTTTTTTCAACATTCAGCTGTCTGGTGGTGGTGGGGAAGAAGCTGTTTTGGAATCTTCTGGACCTGCATTGAATGCTGCAAAGGCTCTTCCCACAGGGCAGCAAAGAGAACAGTCCATGGTGGGGGTGTTAGGGGTCATACAGTGCTGGAATGAAATGTCTTTTATGGAGGGAAGAGGAGCCCCGATGATCTTCTCTGCAGTTCTCACCACTCTGCTCACCTTCTTCCAGTCTGCAGCACTGCAGCCCCCACACCATATAGTGAGACAGCTGGTCAGAACGCTAACTATGGTGCTTCTGTAGAGGATCGTGAGGATGGATGGGGGCAAGTGGGCTCTCCTCATCCTCCGCAAGAAGTACATGCACTTCTGTGCCCTTTTGACCAGTGAGGTGGTGTTAAAAGTGAAGGTGAGGTTGTCTGTGATGTGCACCCCAAGGAATTTAGTGCTGCTCACCACCTCTACAGCTGAGCTGTTGATGAGCAGTGGAGCA